AAAAAATCGTCATCTTCTTGAGTTTTAATCAACATAAATTCACAAAAATCAATTCTCCTTTGATCGTCACCTGGCCTTAAACTTTGTGCCAATAAGTAAGAATAAGGACGAAAATTAGGTTTTTAAAATCCTGTGATTGCTTTTCTTAGATATTCCCATATCTCTTTTAGCATCTACACTCAGGTGCAAAAAAAAACGCAACAAGCTAATATTTGGTAAACTTTTTTTATTTTTCATTCAATTTTCATGATTTTCAATATCCAGCGTTTTGTTAAATGCTGGTCATTTAGTCGGTATACAGGGTTAATTGAAACGCCGTTCTAGGTTTCTAATTTTAAAACACCCTGTGGAATAATTTAGTGTATAAGTTGTTTCAACATATAATTTTTGTTAAGAACCATTCGTTCCCTACATTTTGTTTTTTGGTTGAAAAATGGGGGTTGCCATTTAAAAATGAAGTTTTCGACTTTTCGAGATAGGCAAATTCGGCGCAAATTTCTGACCAGCTATATAATTTTTAAAAAAACTTTTCAAGGGTTATGTAAACTATGGGTCCTCTCTGTGCAAACCCTGAGAATATTTGGCCGGACTCTAGTGTAATTTCGAAAAAATTATTCTTATTGTGAAGGGTTGCATCTGCCAAAATTTTCGAAAAAACTGAAATATGTAAACCCTGTATGCAAATTTTCACAAAAATAGTGCCAGTAGTTTGACGTATACATATAAACTCAGCTCGTCGTGGCAGACCCTGTACAGATTAAATGCTGTAATATTAAAGCTGATATTAAAAAAAGAAGTAATATCATCGCCTTTAACAAAATTAACCAACCAATGCATGAGAGAAAATACTTTTCCAAATGATTTAAAGTTAGCATTGGTAACTCCTGTCTTTAAGAAAGGCGATCCTTTCTCACTCTTGCCTGTATTCTCAAATATTTTTGAAAAAATCATAAAGAATAGAATTCTGCGACTTTAGCAAGGCCTTTGATTGTGTGAACCATAATTTATTAATAAAGAAGCTGAGTAGATATAACGTTGGTGGCAGTAGTATTAAGATGATTCAATCGTACCTTGGTGGCAGAAGACAAATAGTCTGTTGTAATGATTAGTTATTCTACATCAGAGTGAATTTCTATTGCCTCTATTGGAGTTCCACAAGGGTCATAAAATCCTCATTGATGCTGTTGTAGTAAATCGGGCGTCGCGCTTTGAGGCAGAGGAGTGGTTTGCGTGCAACGGCCTATATCTGAATTCCAACAAAATAGCTGAAGCTGTCTTTACATTGAGAGGCGATTAGCCAGATCTGATGGGAGGGCAATTCATAGATTTTTTGGGTGTTCGCTCAACCCCACGTTGAATTGGGAGCAGCATGTAAGTATACTTTGCGGGAAGCTGAGCAGCAACATTTTGGTGTTGCGCATTTTAGGTGGCAATATGACTGACTTTGCACTGTGTCAATCGCTATTCTCATATTCTTTGTTGACCTGAGAAACTGGTCGGGTTGGTCTAGGGTTTTTCGGCTGCCGCGACTCGATACTTCAGACCACATGTGTCATATGTGGTCTGAAGTATCGAGTCGAGTGCCGTGAATTCTTCATAGAACAGAAAATACTAAAATTTCCGTCGCTATTTATATTAGAGCATCTGCTGTACTTGCACAACAATGTAGATAAATATACCGCCCACAGAGATATACACAGCTACAGAACCTTTAACAATCATAAGCTAAAACCTAAATTTTGCAGACTCTGTAAGTCACAGAAAGGTGTAAGTTTTACTGCGCTCAAGTTTTACAATGAATTACCTTTAACGGTTACACTTTTACCTGTGAGCAAGTTTACAACATTGATAAAGCAATTTCTACTGTTGAGAGGTTTCTATTCTTATTCGGAGTTCCTTGAATATAAATTTTTTGAAAGTGATTTTGTGTCATTGGGCGTCGGTCGTGACATCATCATATCATACAATGATGATCTACATGTGATTTTACTGTGTTGTGTGCTTTGTTCTTTTTTTTCTTTGTAAATTTTTTCTATATGACGAGTGTAAAAAATGTATATTTTGGATGCACAAATTTCCGCGCGCCGTATTTTTCCCTAATTTTTATGAATCAATATCATAAAAGCTAATTATAACGCGTACTGTATATCATGATTCGTGCGTAGCCGGTTTTTTATGATATTAATTAATAAAAATTCGAGAAAATTGCGGTTCGCGCAACTTTGGAGGAGGGGCCTCTTAGATTTCTCGCAGGATAGTCGACTAGGTAAAAGTTAACCGCCGCAAGACCGCGTACCGATATCCATACCGCTCGTTATGTATCTGGTGAACTGTCCTGTGAAAGATCTATGAGGCGGAGACTCGTTTAAAAGTTGCGCGCCCCGCAATTTTCTCGAATTTTTATTAATTAATAGCACAAAAGCTAATTAACCAATATTTGATTGCGATGTATCATTGGATTTGTATTTTTTAATCGTCGCCTTCCATACTTTTACTCTACACCATTGAACAATCCGGTAGTAACCGTGCTCAGATAAAAAAAGGTGGAGGTTTTGGATGGCGATTTGTGTTTAAATAAAAGAATAAAATAATAAAATCTNTATGATAACAGACTGAACTATTATCATTGACTTTTAAATATGATTTGGGCATATTCAAACCTTTTATCACAAATGTTATGGATACATGAAGCATCTCTCCACAAGCTGGTGTAAATTTGCATAATATGCATTCTTGGTTCGAGCAAAATCCACATTGCTTTCACCCCTTTGTCTAAATTATTTCATTATTGGGTAGACTAACCGACCTGACTTTTCAAGGAAAACCAATAACCAGGGAAAATATGACAAAACACTAAATGTCAGTAGAAACGTCGTGACGTTTAGGCCGTGACCTAAACAGCGTTTTTTTTTAGTCGAAACTAGATTAAATAAATGCATCGAGGTTTATGGAAGGCATTTCGAACATTAGTGAGCTATTTTTACCAAAAATTTAAGTTACTCTAAGTATTTTGGTTTATTTTGTTTTATTATCATTGTTGATGTTTCATTGATCCGTTGGCTTTTAAACACGCCTCAAAAGTAGTTTTGAAGCAGTTCTAAACTTGGATAAAGTATGAAGGAAGGTTCTAGGTAATAACATCTTTGTGCTCTCTTATTTGTTTCCTAAGGTAACTTGATCCGATTAAGATATACGAATTTTTAACATTTCCTTCTATAATTCGAGAATAGATGGAGATATCGAGATGCGGTTTTCACTAATATTTAACAAATTTTATGGTGATTAAGGGTCTGTGAAGTAAATAATAAAGTTCCATTTAAGTTTTTTTTTTAAATCACAAAAATATGTAACCGCTGCAGATAACGCCCTCCAAACCAAGCGGACTTACTGAAAATATCTTTTAAAAGAGCATGAAATGCTCTTTCAAACAAGACCAAAAATATTCACATCGGTTGAATGGTCCAGGTGATATTAAAATGTAAACATTTGAAAACGCATTGGGGAGGCCAATGCGTTCCTTTATTATGACAGATATGAGAAATATCGCAAAACAAAAGCGATGCGGTATTATCCAAGCTACTAAATGATGTTGTCAAAGTTATAGCTCATCGTCTAACTTTCTGAGATAGCGGGAATTTTNTCGAATGGTATCTTGCTCATCGAACGCTTCCTCCGAAATTAACCCAATGATCTGATTGTGAATTGTTTTGAAATCATCATATGAAGTATCTGCTTCTTGTGCTTGAGCGATAAATATTAAACGTTCTACAGGATCGTCTTTTACAGCCTTACCCAGGTTCATTGACTCAATGAGCCGATTTTCAAATACCTGGCGCCGCATTAATAATTTGTCTAATTCCTCTGCCATCACGTCTCAAGGGAGAAAGGAATGGTCAAGGAGAATAATAGATATAGTATGATGTAAAAATAATAATGCTTCCAAGGGGAAGTAAAAGACCAAGATTTTACTAAAAAGTAAAGACCATCTGTTGCAGAAAACAACAAAAAAATAAATGTAACCGGTAAAGACCGAGAAAAAAAAGAAAAGAAAGAAAAACTGGTAACGACCCAAACCAAAAATTAATTCAAAAGAAAACTTAAAATAATTATTAATACTAAATAATTATTATAAACCGTAAATAATAAAAAATAATTGCAGGTAATTCCACTGGGGGATTGAGTAAATGTCGCCCTTACGACAGCGAACAAAACCCGTTTACCACGTTGCACGAGGTCACAGATAAAAACGGCGATAACACCAAAAAACGAAACGAATTTGTAAAGGAGATCAATTGGCATAGAAAATACCGCAGAAACACGCTCTTTAAAAAGCCGGAGAAACAATATCACAAATTGCCGATCCGGCTCGAAGGACCAATGAACAATCCGGTAGTAACCGTGCTCAGATAAAAAAAGGTGGAGGTTTTGGATGGCGATTTGTGTTTAAATAAAAGAATAAAATAATAAAATCTATTCTTACTTATATTTCCTTCCCCATTTTTCCCTTCCTTATCACAATACTTTGAATTTTAGTTTTACGCACATTGATTAATTTAACGCACGATACACACGTGGTGGTGGTCGAGTCGCAAGAGACCGAGCGCCCCCTCTCAAAAGTTTATATATAAAATTATTTCAAAAACCGGTCGGTACAATGGGTTGCCTGAACAACCATAGTTCATATTAAATCTCTCAACAATCATACACTTTCCACTATTTACATAACCCTCATTACTAGTATAAAACAATAAATTTCTTATCGTTCTTAATATTAGTGTGTTACTTAAGTGAATTTAAATTTTATACAAATACCTATTTTTGGAGATTCTAATTCCGTAGCACTACATTCTTCTTTAATAGCAACATTATCATCTATTACTTTAGAAGGTACGTAGTCATTACCAGTGTTTGTTTGCAAAGATTCTTCAATCATAGGGTCAAACCCAGTATCATCAATATCGATTGCATCATCATCAACAACCATATCATCAGAGGTTTCTTTATTTATCACCATTTGCTTCAGGCATCAAAATTATTTGTTGATGGATTAAAATATGTCGTCCATCATTATTTTGAGATTCATTTAATTTTGTACTTTTAAAACTAACTTTAATCATCGATCCAGATTTGTTTCCTTCCGAACTATTCAGTATATCTTCGTCTTCATTATCCTCTTCATCTTCATTCTCATTAGATTCATCATTATGATTACTTTCACAAATTTCACTAGTTTCGTCATAATCCATCTCACTACATTTAAACACGTCTTTCAATACCACTTTGCATACTGTCAAATCGTAAGTAGAATACAATTGAGATAAAGAAGACGAAAAATCTGAAGATTGATTTAATATTTCCGAATCTGGTTCAGTATTTTGCGATTGATTAACAATTTCAGTCATTTCATCATCGGTTACTTCATTAGAATCGCTAGATGTATCTTTATGAGTTAAGATATGAGTATTATCCACATCGTCATTTGAACTTGCGCATACATTTTCATTCAAACCACCAGTTTTTAACCAATATTCTCTTTTACATTGAAAATAATGTATAATCATGTTAGATTCTAGAGAGATCATTTGACAATATTTACACATGATATTTCCTTTTTTTGTTACACCATGCACCTTACGCATATGAATTTGTCGATCGCTTACACAATGGAAAATTTTATCGCAACTATAACATTCATGTATTAATAAAGTATTGTGCACCTTTTTTGTGTGTGATATTAATCCAAAAATGGTATCAAATTGAGTGGGGCAATACGAGCACCATTTTGGCGATCTTTGTTTAGACTGTACATCATCTCGAATACTGTAATAAAGACTTTCATTTGGAGTACTTGTTGTACCCTCGAACGTTTCAATATCATTGCAAATATCTTCATAATCAGAGTGAAGTGGTTTCAAAAGATCATCATCGAAATCATTTTCCGAATCAATTACACAAATTATTTCGTCCTGTTCTTCACAGTACTTTTGATTAAATGAAGAAGTTTGAACACAATCCAAAACGTGAGTGTTAATTTCTTTTTCGCAAATATACTTTTTACAAATTTTACAAAAAACTTGTGAATAAGATTCATGTATTAAAAGTAAATGGTGTTTCCGTTCGTTCGTCGTTTCAAACTGGTCATTACAAGTAAAACATTCGTAACTTATTTTTAATCTTGCAGTACAATTTAAAATGTGCATATTCGCTTTTATTTCGTTAGTTAAAGACTCTTTACAATATTTACAAACGATAATAGAACCGCTGTGATTTTGACGTAAATGTAATCTACGATCGATTATAGATGAAAAGCGTTTATTGCAAGTGAAACATTCGTAAATTAGTCCTTGATTGTGTACTTTACTGCAATGGTTCTCTAACGATCTAATGGTAGGAAGAATTTCTGGACAATACAAGCATATCATTCCGTCTCTTTGAATTTTATAGTTTCTAGATTTTATGGCATTATTGGGTATGTGTTGATTTCCTTTATTTTGAGTACGATCTAGAACAAACAATTATTTGAATTAGAAATATTCAAAGAATAAATATTTAAGAAAAATATATTTATTTTTTAGCGGATCATTTTTTTTACGTTGAATACCTGGAAATTTGAAATATTTGGAGAACTTTGTGATTTGAAAGTTATCAGTGCTGAAAATATTCAAAATTTTGGAACAACATTGAACATACAATGAGTTCAAGAGGCGAACAAGAGATAATTAATGTTAATTTTTGATTTTTTGACATCATAGGATTTAAATTAATTAAAACACTTTTGCACATTAACGATGTAATTAATTATTATTTATTCTACTAGTTTCGAGGACTAATTATCCCCATCTTCAGGAAAAAAACGTCAAATAATGAATACAGTTATAAACGCAGACTGAAAATCTTCACGCTTGGATGAGATTTATGAAGTTGGTTCCATATCTCGTACAATCTTTCTTTTAAAAAATAGTCTGCCATTGATCCTTTACATAAGATTGAGACTAAGAAAAAACAAATACAAGACCGATTTAGAGATGAAGTAAGTATAATTATTGATAAGCCCCGACAAGATACTGGAAACTCCAACGATGATAACACTGCTAGAAGATTCTTTTCTAATCTTTCTTGCATAGCTGATTGGAGTAGGGATAGGAGTAGATGAGGATTTAATTAAAAGTTTTTCCCTAATTCTTCCAACATTAGCCAGCGGAAGAGCCATAGATTCCAAAAAGTTTGGGGAATACGCATATGTATAAAACAGCAGAACTTTATGTAGAGCCATATAAATGGTACTACATGCCTGCTTCAGTACACAAAATACTTATTCACGGTGAAAGCTTCATACAATATGCTGTATTACCAATACGACAACTTTCAAAAGATGCACAAGAAGCTAGAAATAAAGATTACAATAAATTGGATACATAACGCTCGGAAATCTCGGAAATGTTCAAATATTACCACCAATCAAGATGTTTTCAATACGTTACTATACACCTCTGATCCTTATATATCATCAATTAAACATGTTTTAGAAAAAACAAAGTTAGGTTTAGATTCAGAAAAGAAAAAAATATAAAAAGCAACCATTATTTTTTTCTTAACAATAAATCTATATTTAAGTATCATCTGTATGTTATTTTAGAAGAAAAAATGGTGACTAACTTATGATTTCTCTGCAAAGTATATATAAAATTCTAGAATAATGATTATACTGTTTATATTATTTGTAAACAGAAATACTTCCCAAGTATATTGAAAGTTGCTGAAATAATAATGATACCAAAACCTGGTAAACCCCCCACAGATGTTAGATCATATAGGCCAATCTCATTATTACCATTACTATCAAAACTACTTGAAAAATTACTGTTAAAAAGACTAAAACCTGTCATAGAAGAAAAGGCCCTAATACCAACACATCAAAGCGACAATAGACCAAGTCCATAGAATAACAAATACTATCGAAATAGCAATGGAAGAAAATAAAGTCTGCTACGCTTCATTTTTGGATGTTGCACAAGCTTTCGACAAAGTCTGGTTAGATGGTTTAAATTACAAACTAGACCAAATACTACCATCAACGTATAGTCAACTATTAAAATCGTATTTTTCTGATCGATATTTTAGAGTAAAATAAGAAAACGCTTATTCGCCACTCCATGAAATACAAGCCAGAGTTCTTGGCCAAACACTGTAATTACGCTACACATTCGACCTTCCTCAGGTACCAGAAACTTTAATAGCTACATTCGCAGATGACACATCGATCTTGGCTGTTGCAGAAAATGAAGGAGTTGCAGCAAATAAGTTGCAATTGGCCTTAAATTCAATAGAAAACTGGACCAAACGATGACTAAAAAAACTAAATTCAAATAAATCGACATACATAAACTTTACTTATAAGAAAGTAATCTATGTCCCACTACACATAAATGGCAATGCAGTTCCTTACGCCGACACCGCAAAATATCTTGGGATGATGCTGGATGCCAAACTCAAATGGAAAGCTCACGTTAAAAAAAAAACGTGAGGAACTTGATATCAAATTTAGACACCTATTGGCTTATTGGCAGAAAATCTAGGTTATCACTAAGAAATAAGTTGCTAATATACAAGCAAGTATTAAAACCTGTGGGGTTGTATCTGCAAGACAAATGTAAGTCTGATTCAAAGATTCCAAAACAAAGTACTAAGGTGCATAGTAAATACACCTTGGTATATAAGAAACACCGACCTCCGTCACGACTTGGAAGTAGCACCGGTGTCATCACAACTTGCATCATTCGTATCTAAACATGAGAAGAGAATCATCCCAACATAGAGGCCATCCAGCTTCTCGACAACGAGGATGTCGTGCGTCGCCTTCAGTGGATGAAGCCGTTCGATTTAGTGACCTAGTGCCCTAGTCGATTCATACGCGAGCAATAGTGCAGAATTATAACAAAAACAATAAGTAGATCTTAAAACGGTAAAAATATGACAATATTTATCTATATTATGTGTAAAGCAGACTGGACCACTGGGAAAAGCTGCAAAACATTATCTTGTTTCATTTTGGTTAAAATTTGCCCGGCTCATGGACGCGACGGAACTGTCCAGAAGTGTGGAAAACTTTCTTAAACGAAAATTTGGTAAAACTAATGACGAATCAAGTTTAAGCTGTAGTGATGGAAACATTCAACCAACGAATGAACCAAAACGAACAAAAAAAAACGACGACACGATAATATTTGAATTTTGGATTTACCTGGTATGGAAGTAAAGTATCTGGGAGTCAGATTCCAAAATGTATTGTATGTGGAGAACAACTTGCAAATAATGCAATGATTTCTGCGTAATTAAAACGTCATTTTTTTTCAAAACATAATATTTATCATCTAAAAATAAGGAGTATTTTAAAAGATTATTAGAAGCGCTCACAATTCAGCAGAATCTTTTATTTTGCCTGCGTGTTTGGAAATTGTAAAGATTATGTTTGGTCCTGAGACACAGAAAAAAATAGCAAAAATTCCACTTAAGATGAAAACAACATATCGAAAAACAACTTGCTACTAAATTAGGATCCGGAAGCAGTTTTGGGTTGATGATTGACGGATCTACTGATATAAGTGGCAAAGCTCAGTTAATAGGATATGTTCGTTTCATCGACGAACATGAAATAAATCAGTTTTTATGCTGCAGAGAACTGACGGAACGCACATCAGGCCAAGATATATATGATAGCTTCAATTCATATTTATAAGAATTCAACTTGTCTTGGAACTGCTGCGTATGAATTTGTACAGATGGAGTTCCATCTATGATGGGCTCTATCAAAGGATTTTGTGGCCTCGTTAAGAAAAGAAATGCTAATATTGTATATACGCGTTGTTTCCTACATAGACAAGCTTTGGTTTCCAAAACATCACCAATAAATCTAAAATTAGTGTTAGAGCAAGTGGTATCTGTACTTAATTACATTAAATTGGGACCATTGAAAACCCGTCTATTTAAACAATTTTGCAGTTCCATGGAATCGAAATATGGTTATTATGAAGTAAAGTGCAGACTCGGGTTTATAAACTCAGAAATGAGCTCTTGACTTTTTTTCAAAAAGAATGTAACCATATCTTTGTAAATTATTTTGAAAGTATTATATGGGTGTGCTAAACTTGCGTATTTTGCTGATATTTTTAATTACTTGAACAGTGTTAATACAAGTATGCAAGGAAGAAACGAAAACATTTTAACTTGCACTGATAAAATGCTAATATTCCAGAACAAAATTTCATTTAGGAATAATCGAATATCAAAAAAAAAAAAGGACAGTCGATACGTTTCCATTAATTTCAAGTGAAGAAGTGTAGAAAAATATGATACGAAATCCATTTTGTAAAGGTGATACATCTAATTCGTCCTTCAAGAAGAGGAAGATTTTATTTTTTTATTATCTGATCGTACATTAATAATGAAATTTGAAGAGGTACGTCTTGAACAATTTTGGATATTTGTTCAAAGGGAATATCCAGCACTTTTTAAAAAGGCACTTGATATTTTGCTACTATTTTTGACGTCGTATCTATGTGAGCTCGGATTTTCCACACTGACCAACATAAAAACTAAAAAAGGGAAAGATTAAGCAATTTAGAAGATAAAATGAGAGTAGCATTATCGCATACAAGGCCAAATATCAGATATCTCCAAGACTCGACAAGTTAATTTTAAAAATTAATATAGCTATTGTTTATGGTGTCCTTTGTTAAGTTTTTCCAAGATAGGTACTCTTAGCATTTCTAACTAAAGATGGTGTTCCGCTACTTTTTATTACTGCCAAAAGTGTTCCGCCATCACAAAAAAGTTGAGAACCACTGGCATAGAATAACGAATACTATCGAAATAGCAATGGAAGAAAATAAAGTCTGGTACGCCGTATTTTTGGATGTTGCACAAGCTTTCGACAAAGTCTGGTTAGATGGTTTAAATTACAAACTAGACCAAATACTACCATCAACGTATAGTCAACTATTAAAAATATCTTTCTGATCGATATTTTAGAGTAAAATACGAAAACTTAAGCTTATTCGCCACTTCATGAAATACAAGCCGGAGTTCCTCAAGGATGTGTGCTTGGCCAAACACTGTACTTACTCTACACATTCGACCTTCCTCAGGTACCAGAACTTTAACAGCTACATTCGCAGATGACACAGCGATCTTGGCTGTTGCAGAAAATGAATAATAGAATAATAGAAAATGAATTTGATATCCCAAAAATCGAGTGTTCTCTGATTGTTTGAACAAATCTCTGCTGGAGCAGATTTTTTTAGAAAAATTCGAATAACTCGAGAACGGCCGAATCAAATTGCAAAAAGGAAAGTTATTTATATGCCATGAGAACAGACAAATCCAAATATGTAAAAATATACGGGCTGTTCCATTAAAAAAAATA